TGTTATTGGTCCTGAACTGGCATCTCAATTTCAGTCATTTTCCCTCTGCCATAACGTAGCTTTCCTGTGCCTTTTTTATAAATAACTGTCCTGATGAACTTTCCTCTCGGGTATCTGTAGATTATGGTTTAAGCACATTACTAGACTGGGAGCAAGGTCTCATCATTTTACAGTTGAAATGGTAACCATATGTTCTATGCTAACAATTTCTAATCTCATACTTCTCACTTGTGGAACTCTTTACTGGTTTCCTGATTCTCACTCAACTTTGATCTTCAAAAATTTAAATGCAATGTCAATAGTTATCTTCTATCTTCTGAATTCCTGTTAATTTATTTTTTCTCGCTCCATAATAATGTTTTTCTTTTTCTTGTATTCTCTCACTCTCTGTAACCCCTTGTGTTATTAACGTGCTTAGTGTGAAATGATTTAAAAAAAATAAAAATCATCATCCAGTTTTCTCAATACAGCTATTGGTGATGCATGCTCATTTTCTTACCCCAGAAACCATGTTGTAAAATGTCTTGTGAAACCATTTTTGTAATTTTGCAATTACTCTAGGTGTAAAACCTTTCATAACTGCCTACACCCAGTGGTGTAACCACCTTTAGTGGTCCGGTCCTCAGGGACTTAGGACAATGCTTTAACCACAGGCTAACTCTGCACTGGTCAATGCTGATGCTGGTCCAAGCTTGTTGTTGGTTGCTGGCTACTTCAACCAAACTGTCTCTGCCCATGTTGTAGTCTTGACTTCAGTGCAATGGAAGATTGAATGTCATCATAATGACAGTGCTGGTTCAAGCTGTGGTAGATGCTATATTAAGGAAGAAAAATATCTTCACGATGAAAAAATAAAACAAAAGATTCATTATATGCACTTTGGCCCAAAACTAGTGTGGGGCCAAAGCATGTTGGGGATTTGGTGATTCCCCAATTTTCGTTAATTCCAATAATCATTTTCTTTGTTCTTTCTACTTTCTTAATCAACTTTTCAGATTTGGAGAATTACCCACCTACTTAGGAATAGTTAAAAGGTTGCTCCTCCCCTAACACCCACCTGCTTCACTTCACATCTTGCCCCACTACTCTGCACAGGCAGCACTATATTCTGCCCCTTTCTCTTTCCTTCTTGACATTTTAACTCTGCCTACTTCTCAGTGTAGCATAACTGTTGTTGTGACAAATCTAATTTTTAAAGTGTGTAGGAGAAAGGGTGGGGTTTATTCTCTTCATTAATTTCAATTCTCTGACTCCTTTCTGTTATATAGAAATAAAGTGTCACTGCCGACACTTGTGTTTGAACATAGATCGCCATTAAGAAGCACAATCTCATTATTGAATTAAGTAGATCATGTGACCATAGAGGAAACACATATATAGAGGAAGTCATGTGACGTCTGAGTGTTCACTATCTCTAGTCTATCCTTTATACTATATGGCTCTTCATTTCTTCTCTATTACAATACAAAGAAATATTAGTGTGAGATTATTCAAAGGTGTCTGACACCAGCATTGTTTAATGGTGTACAATAGTTGTATCTGCGATTACAAAGTCTCTACTATAACAAGCATTACGAAGTGACAACAAGTATTTGTTGGCATTACAAAAGTGGCAATGAGTGTTCTTTGACATCGCAACACTTTTGCACAAACCAGACGACTGATGACACAGCATGATTGATCTTCATAACCTCAACCTTAAGAAAAGGGTTTGTTCCTTGTTTTCATTTTCATTAATGAGAATATAATTCATATCTTCCTTTCTTTTCATTAATGATATGTGTTTTGCTAATTTCTCAAAGAAGAGATAAAATAGTTCTCCAAATCTGTTTTCATCTGCAGGCCAGGCTCTCAGTAGTTAAGAAAAATAAACTTTAGGTGAGAAGAAAGCCAGATAGTCCCATTCACACCAAGTAAAATGTTTCCACTTTCTTTCTCTCCATCTATCTTCCAGCCTATATTCCATTTTGGGCTTAACCCTTTTCTGCTCAGAATTAATGTTTGATCACTTCACATCCTTAGTGTCACATTATTCCTTTCCATTTTTGTCATTTACTTGTATATGACATTCAACTCCACCTTCCTTAAGGTGATAAAAGCATCCCTCCATAAGTCCATCCAGTCTTTGCTATTGATATTGATCACTTCAACCCAAACGTTGCCCTATCTCACATTGTATTTAATTTAGATCATATTGCTGGCAAGAATCAGTTGTCAATGGGAATCATTGAACTAGTCCAGACTGGACAAGTAAAAGCCACAATTCACAAGATAAGTTGTAAAAAAAAATATTTTATATGACATTCCTTATACAGAGCTGGTAATACAAGTTTTGTTTCCCATACAAAATTATAGGTTCTTCATGCAGGCACATCTTGACATGCAAAGTCACTTGACCCTTCCCTCATTCGAATATTTTGTGACACCCTTGTTTGTTATGACTGAGTCAAGATAAATATGCTGGAACACAGATCGGAGGCCTTCTTCAATGACAGGAATCCTGTGGAACAGTTGTCTCTCTCTCTTTTCTCCTGGTCCTGTCTTCTTTTGTGTATAAGTTCGCAACACTCTCATTCATTATAGTGGACCTTGTTAACAATATTTCTGGAGCATGGTTAAAGTCGGAAGTCTTTGTCAGGAAGGAGTATCAGGTGATACTTCTGCCTGGCAAAGATTTCTGACTTTATCAGTAACAGGAGTATCAGTATCAGGAGTATCAAGAGTGGTATCAGGTGAACCAGTTGTCAGCAGCTCAATCTCTCCTCTTTCATTTTCACCTTCATCTCTGTTTTCTCTGTATGTGTTCTTCTTTTTATGGGCCACAGCTCTAACCTATGGAGTGGTAGGCTCTTAGGGTTTTTCCCAATTTTTAAACTAATTAACTAAATTCTAACAAAGTTCCTTTGTTTAGAATCTTTCCATAACATCCTCAATTTTTCTAAATTTGGAAGTTATCTCATTCTGTCAGTAAAGAGCACAGACCTGGTTCCTCCCAGCTACTCTCACTGCCTTAGTCATGTCTCCCACCAACGTTTCTGATTGGTGGAGATCACTCTGTCTTCCATCCACCTAAAACCACCACTCTGAACATTCCTTCAGTCAAAGCTTTATACTGGTATTTCCACCCTTCAGTAGGTGGAAACAATTCTATTTTTCCTGAATGTCTTCTCTCGTTAGCTAACTTTCTCCTCCTCAATCCACTCCCCATCCTTGGGAAACTCAGCATGGCATCATGGCATCTGGTTTTTATATTCATTTTCATGATATTGTATTTTTCATATTTCAATTTCTCTGGGTTTGTTTTAGCCTGTCATTGATCAATCATTAACTCCATTGTTCTGTTATCTAGTATTTGTATCAGGCTTCCTCAATGACTGGAACGCACTTTCTCAAAATTCGGCCAAGTTTGAAATTTACCATATGACCAATTTTCTCATAACCTGTAGACAATTCCCTAACCCATATTTCCTTTTACTTGGTGATTCAGCTTTGCTAGATTCATTCTTTTCTGTTGACAACTTTTAAACAATGATATCTCTTGGTGATTCAGCTTTGCCAAATTAATTCTTTTCTGTTGATAACTGATAAAATAAAGTAAGAAAATATAAATTTTCCTTTTTCTTTTCTTTGTGGAAAAATAAATAAGGTGTCCCAGCCCTACCTTTCTCTGAATTTACAAAATCTGGTTACGTAGATCATCTACTGGCTTTTCCATCATCGTCTCAGTATATCTATTGGGCTATCTAGTAACCCTTTCAGTGTCTTAGTGTGTCTCATTTTTCCCTTACACTTCCTGTCATTTACTTGTAAATGACACACTCTAATTCCCAAAACTAACAACAAAGCTATTTATCATTCCACTTTTCCTATTGCATGCAATGAGGAATAATAATAAAAATAATTTTATACACCGTTTTTCTTCTACTAATTCATGCAGTAGAAAAAAGTCTTTCTATTTTCATGAAATGTTTGAAAAAAGTCTTTCTTTTACTTCTCTTATTATCATGTAATGTTTTCAGCGATGGGGTTCACACCACACCTTACCAATTATTTTAATTTTACCCTGGGAGTCTTGACCTCCCTTACTTCTTTCTTTTAATTGACACCCCCACCTTTTGTTTCTTGTTTTATGGTTTTTCTCTCCGCAATAGGAGGTTTTGATTTTTCCTTAACAGGTATCAGCTCTGCTTCCTCTTCTGTCAAATTCAATTAGGCTTCTTCTTTTTGGTTTGATCTGTTTGGGCAAAGAACACTATGGCATTCCCTTCTCAAGCTGTTGCATACTCACCAAAATACCATTAACTGATTTCCTCCTATACCCTTTTAGCTTCCATATTGCTGTCACTATAGCAGGAATAACTAACAGGATACCTATTAATGCTGACCAGTTTATTATGGTCTTAGGGGTCACTATACTTGGGAACAAATGTCCTAATGATAACATACCTAGCTGAGCTCTCACATGCTCTAACAAAATCAGCAGGGATCAGCTAGTCTTGCACACCTTAGTAATTGTGATTAATTAACAAAACTACTTAACTCATATAATTCAGTAGCTATAGCTTCAGAGACATTAGCTACTGGTGCTCTGATTTGGACCCAATTCTGTAGTCTCTTTTTCAAAGCTCTTCAATCAGAGTGAGTCGTCTTCTGAGAACTGTTGTTGGATATGTCACAATTGATATTTTAAGACCATTTAAATCACAGTTGACATGTATAAGCATTCACAGTATCTGTATATACTGCTTAGACTTTTTTAAATACCTCTGTAGCAATAGTACCCTTTCGGAATTTATACAGTAAACAATGGCTAATATGTTGCTTTTTTTAAGGTTATAATCCTCTGCAAGATTAAACTCTGAAATGCACTATAAATACTACACTATTGAATAGAAGAGATGATAAACTAGTTGTAGATGCAGTTTCATAATTCATAGCAATAATATGTGAATTTACTCTCCAAACATTCTAATATATAAAAAATGACAGATTTCACTTACATGATGAGAAACTCTCTGATTTATGCCTTGCAAGCTGCAATGAAAGACATATTTATATGGTAGATTGTATCCATCAGTGACAGCAACATCACCAGGTTTGATTCCATTGGGATATTTTGCATTAATTTCAGTTTGTATACCTTGTCCAGCAATGTTTAGTATTGTTTTTGATATTTGACCACCATAAGAAAGTTGAAGGCTCTTGTCAGTGGAATTAACTATGATGCCTGCCTAGAAAAAGAAATTGAAAATTAAAATGAATAAATTAGTAGCAATGAAAGTAAGGCATTAAACAGAGAGAGAATAACTTTAAGAAACTTCCTTACAAATACAAAAAGCTCTGCATTCATTAATATTAATATTTGACAGTAACCCAACAGTCAGTGACTTTTAAATCATTTCCTCCCCAGAAACAGGAATCAGAAATAAATTGTTATTATTGATTGAGAAAGCAGCATGCTAACAAAAGTGATGCTGGGGTACAAATATGCAAAACCTAATATACCAATCATGACAATCATTTTTTTTTTAGATTTTAGTATGATTAAGTGATTCATTTTCTTTGGATTATCAAACTTTTGCAGGTTATTTAAAGCCAAAAAATATTTTTAGAGTGTAAGAATTTTTGTGGAAATAATAATGATTTAGTTTAGTCTTACTAATTAACCCATACCTGGGGGATAAGAGGTAGATTCATACCCAATCAGAATTTGATAAACAAGCAAGAAATTAAAATATGTATATAAAGTGGGGGATCAATTCTGTATTACAATCAGTATATAAACTGATTCCTCACTTTCTGTAGTTTCTATACATTTATATTCCAGAGAATGTAAATAAATCTAAAAGACTTGCCTGTGTAGCTAATCAGTATTTCATTGATTGAATGATTCATTTTCTATAGCTTATCAATCCTTTGCAGCTTATTTGAAGCCAGAAAATATTTTTAGATTGTAAGAATTTTTTAGAGCTAATAATGGAGCTGCACTGCTCCAAGAAGGCCAAACCCTGACCTATACCAGTTGAGCCCTTGCCATCACAGAAACAAAGTATGCACAGATCAAGAAGGAATCACTGTGAATGCTTTTATCAATATACATTTGGCCAGCACATTACTGTTCTGAGCAATCACAGACCTCTTGAAACCATAATAAAAAAGGACTCAGCAAAGTGGGCAAAGTCTCTGCAGAACATGTTAATGTACCTACAGCAATACAATGTCACAGTGTTATATCATCTGGGTAAAAGTATGTATATTGCAAACACACTTTCAAGGACCTACATCAATGGTGTCAGCTGTACAAATGGAGATGATATCCAGGAAGCAGAGTAAATCCCTGTGACAGAAAGGAGGCTATCCAAGCTGAGGACTGCAACCAGAGATAACTGATCCATGTAGGCAGCAGTTGTAGCAAGTCATATTAGAAGGATGTTTAGATGAAAAAATACACCTTGACCCAGAAGTGAGATGTATTTCAATTTTTGGCATGAAGTGATTGTGTAGGATGGACTGATATTTCAGGATAGCCATTTGGTAGTCCCTTTGAATCAATATGTGGCTTTAAAGGAAAGACTGCATTTCTCCCATTTAAGGGTAGAAGTTTGAAGAGCATGGTAATGTATATATTGGCTGAACATGAATTGTGACATAAGAGAATACATTGCAAAATGCCTGACTTGTCAAAAATATGAAGTGGCAAATCCTGCATAACCTATGATAGTTCATGAAATTCTGGAGAGACCCTGGGAAAAAGTTGGAGTGGACCTATTCCTATTTGATGAGCAATTTCTGGGAGATTTATTGCCTTTGCTGTACTGACACCAAGAGGGTTATCACCAAACTTAAGCACCATTTTGCAAGACACCATACCCCAGATCAAGTGGGGCATCAGTTTTGGAGGCAGGAGTTGGCTGTTTTTGTGAGGAAATGCTGTTTTACACATTATCACTTTCAACAGCAAAGCTAATCATAAGGTGGAATTGGTAGTTAAGATGGCAAAGAATATTTTCCAGAAAGCTAAAGCCGCTCAAGTGAATCCTTATTTGGCAATGTTGGATCACTAAAACACACCCACAAAAGTTTTTCTGCACCAGCACAGAAGATTATGTCAGTAAGTACAAAAACTTTTCTACCAACCACAAATGACCTGCTAAAACTGGAAATACCCAGAAATATAAAACAGTGTTTTGTGCGCATGGTTTCTCTATTATCAGGGTCCTTCAATTACCCTTCTTGTTATGAAGTTGATATACACAAAATAGTAGTAGATGTCACAAGTGACATTCTCCCTCAGTCTATGTCAAGTTCTGCCTATATAGTGGTATGATTATGCTAATTAGTATTAGCCTAACCAATCCCACTACACCTGCCCAAACCTTTTAGGTTTAACTCCCTGAATTGACCTATTGCTTCTCCTACATATCCTCCCCATTTCACTGGTTTTAAGAGGATTTCTCCTTATAGGAGATCTCGGCCTACTTCCTTTTTCAATCTCCACTGTTTCATTCTCTGATTCCTCAGAAAACCCTTGAGCACTCATTGTCTCCTCTGAACTATTATCTTGTTCTTCTCATGTAACTCCTCAGTATCTTCAGTTTCTGAGTTTTCATGGTTTTGGCACACTCTTAGTTGGTCAGCATGCGCCAATAGACCTCTACCATTCTTGGAAACCAACGCTGTATTTCTATCCCTTCTGCATTACAAATCTTACTTTTTCTGGCCTCTCTTCTCTGTTTCTCTTGTACTATATCTTCTCATTCATTGAGTATGACATTGTTAATGGTGCTCTAATTTGTCTTCCCATTAACACAGATGGACTTTGTAATTTTCCAGTATGTGGTATTGTTCGATAACTTAATAACAATCTTGGTAGGAAATTTTCAATTCTTTCATGTTGTGGGGAGAATGCTTTTAAACCCATTTTTATGGTTTGCATCATTTGCTTCGCTATTCCATTTGATTGCAGTTGATAAGGAGGGGTTTTATATGGCATGCATCTAATGTTTCTTAACCATGAACACAAGTTTTCATCGCAGAACTCTGGAGCATTATCTGTTACCAATGTCCTTGGGATGCCATTTCTGGCAAAGACTATTCATAAAATTTGTTGTACTGTATCTGGTTTTCTATCCTGAACCCTAAAACCTTCAGGCCATGCTGAAAATGCATCCACCAATATCAGACACAATCCTATACCCATTCACATGTGGATGATCCATGTGAATCCTGGACCAGGGTTCAGTTACCTTTGGCCATGAATGTGTCTTGTTCTATCGAAAATTTTTATCTCCACACATTTAGGACATTTATTCATGTATGTCTCCATGTAACGAATGTAACCAGGCCACTAGGCTTCCAATTTTACACGTTTTTGTGTAGCAGCTATTCCGCAATGCATATCATCATGCATGCTTTTGATTACCTGTCTTCTACTACTTTTAACATTGACCAGATTCAGTAATTGTGTACTATCAACACTTACTAAGTCAGTACCTATTAGGCTATGACTTTTTATACAATTCACTCCTGTGATGGTAATTGTTTCAAATCTTTCTGCTGTTTCAAATGTTCCTTGAAAGGAACCTAACATTTTGATACAGGTTCCATCAAATTGTTTTAGTCTTACTGGGCTTCTTAACTTCAGTCTCATTAATTTTTCCCCAAAATTTCTAGGAATAAGAGTTACCTCACTTCCTGTGTCGACTTACATCTTTAAATTTATACCATTCAACTTAATACTCTTGAACGTATTCCTTTTGTTTTTCATTTCTATCGCAAAAACATCCGATTGATTTTTTTCCCCGTCCTGCATTATTTCCACATTTTTTACATTGTTGCTTTGCCATTTACACACAGCTTTAAAATGATTCTTTTTTCTATCAGGTCATCCCATAAGTTCTGTCTGAATTTGAACTTTTTGTTAAAATGAACAAAATTTAAAGAGTATTTTATAATGTCTAATGGAGCTGAACATTATTTTTATGTTTAGATGTATTTAAACTGATCAAATTTTATTTCAGAGAACAATAAAATTAAGTTTTGTTTGATTAAAACCCTGCTAACATGGAAGTACCCAAGTATCATTTGAGGCACATAATGCTTTATGAGTTCAAGAAAGGAAACTCAGCAGCCGAAGCAGCTAGAAACATTCACTCAGTTTATGGAGAGCAATGTGTGAATAAAAGAACTTGCAGAAGATGGTTTGCAAAATTCAGAGGTGGAGATTTCACTCTTGAAGATGAAGATTGAACCGGACGTCTAGTTGAGTTTGATGAAAAGCTTCTTGAAGCAGCCATTGAAGAAAATCCTGCCTTATCAGTTGAGTGTTACGCCCGGGGTTTCGTTGGGACTACGATTGCCGGGACACAACGAGAAAATAAAAAAAAGATAAGAGATCCCAAGTTTCGATATAAAAATAAAGAAAAGAACGTTGGGAGGGGAATTCTCCAATTCTGGACGTCGGTAAACGCAGAGAGAAAATGAACAATTCGCAGACACAGAACAACAGAAGGCAACACGAGAATATATAATACAAAGATTTTATTTCTAGAATACACGGAGTGTGAATATAAGAAAAAGAAAAAGAAAACTAAATAATACAAGGGATTGGGAGATAAGTTACCAATTATTAAACAGATACTAATGCGGCGAAATTCATATGAATACAGAAATAGCAGACTATAAGATATGGCAAAACATGCAGAAACTTACATGAGGTTGGAATCGACGTCGATTGACAATTATCGGGTACAATTTGTTCAAAGGATATTTATACACTTCTTTGAAAGTAACGGATGGGATTGACAATGTTCTAACATGAACTCTTGACTGGCGACGTCAATCCGGGTTGATGGCGAGGAAAACACACAGAAAAAAAACGAATATAGCCGACTTTGGGTTGACGATGTTGATCTACAATCTTGCGTCGGTCCTTTGGTTTTTGGTGACATCTAATTCTTCTAATGGTGAGTTTCTAAGACTGGTTTTTGGTGACGTCCGACTCCTCTGATAGCCAGCAACTATATGTGGTTGTTGTTACCTAAACACGCATGAAACAAAACTGCTATATTTTGAGTCACGTGTTGGCCCCCAAAAAGGTATCGTCCATTCACAAACCCTGTTAATATCATCCACAGTTATCTGTCAAACAGCATTTGTTTTGACCAGTGACTATGGAACTGGTTAACATCATTCACACCTATCTGTCAAACAGTGGACCAGGTAGGAGATGGGGGTAGAAGGGAAGGTTCTTTTCCGAGAACTGGCCCTGACTCATCTGGTTATAAAAACAATATATATCTCACAATCTGCATATTCAAGAAATAAAAAAAAAGTTAAGATTCATATGTTTCATCACAAATACAAAAGGTACTGAAAATATACTTATAAAATCTGAGGTGAGGGTACAAATATGGGGTTAACGTAACATGAGGAATTGGCAGTGGTTCTCAGTTCAAACCATACAACTGTTCATCGTCATCTTCAACAACTTGGAAAAGTTCCTAAACTTGGAAAATGGGTGCCTCATGAATTGTCTGAAAACAACCTCAAATCCCGAGTTGGCATCTGCTCTTCTCTCCATTCTCGCCAACTTGTTTCACCTTTTTTGGATAGACTTGTGACTGGCGACGAAAAATGGATCTTTTATCGAAATGTTAAGCATCGTAGACAGTGGTTTGGTAAAGGGGAAGGACCCCAGCCACAGCCGAGAAGGGAACTTCATGGGCAAAAGGTTCTTCTTTCAATCTGTGTGGGATCGCCAAGAATAATCCACTTTGAATTCTTACCACCTAATGCAACAATTAATGCTCAAATATACTGTCAGCAATTAGAGCGTTTGAACCAAGCTTTGAGGAAAGAAAGACGTGCTCTAGTGAATCGAAAAGAGGTGATGTTTCATTAGGACAATGCGCGACCCGACACAGCAAGAATCACGTCACAAAAAATCGAAGAACTTGGTTGGGAGAAAATTCCTCATCCACCTTATTCTCCCGGTCTTGCTCCTTCAGACTACCATTTGTTTCATAGCTTACAGAATCATTTGGAAGAAACTGCTTTTGTAACACAGGAAGAGGTTAAAACTGACATTTGTGAGTTGTTCTTCAAATCAAAGCCAAAAGAATTTTACAGTAATGGAATTAGCAAGCTTGTTAATAGATGGAAGGAAGTCATAGATAATCAGGGAAAATACATTGTTGTTTGAATCTGTAATTAAATGTAACATTTGGTCACTTGTTTTCATTATTCAAAATTCGGACAGAACTTATGGGATGACTTGATACAATTATCACATATCTTTCCCTATGCGAGACATTTTTCTCTTTTTGGCTGATGTTCATAACTGCAATACTTGCATTTTGATTTTGTTTTTTTTCTTAATGGCACATATTTCCATCATTTCTTGTTGTTGGTTTTCTTTTATATTATATTTTTCAATCAACTCGTCCTACTGTATAAATTCAATACACACTTCCAAATTCATATTATTGGATTGCAACCTCTCCAAAGCTTTAAGTCTTTGCTTAGTATCGTATAATCCTTCCACCAGTCAAAGCTGAATCAATTCTTTCTCTGTAGTCATTCCTTTTTGTCCAAGTTCATTAAAGTCACAATACGTACTAGTATCTTTTAGTCTACTAAGATATTTCCTAATAGGTTCTGCAGACTCTTGTCTTAACACAAGAAATTTGGTTCTTTCCGCAATAACCAATCTTTTTTTTGGTTGGATATACTTTAAAATTATGTCCTTTAATGTCTTTAAAGTTTCAATCTCCTCCGGGTAAGTCATTCAGGATATTTGCTTAATGACTTTACACCCTGCAGGGGCCATAAATAAATCCATGATTTGTTTCTGCTTCTGGTCATCTGCTAATTTCTTCATTCTGGCCATTGCCTCAAAGCACTTTAACCGGATAATAACCTCTTCAGGGTTTTCCAAATCTAAGATAGCTTCATTCGGCAATGCCATTTTGTTACGAAGTTGATATACACACAATAGTAGTAGTCGTCACAAGTGACACTCTCCCCAATCAATCTCACGTTCTGCCTATATAGTGGTATGGTTATAATAATTAGTATTAGCCTAACCAATCCCACTACACTTACGTATTTTTCTTTGTTATCTGTTGATTTTATAGTGGCATGGTATAAAAAAATAGAAAAAAATAATAGAAAACCATTATCTGTCAGTTTGTATTTACTTTAATGATAAATGAATGTTGTACAAACTATTAAAAATATACCAAAAGTATATTTACTTACCTCATTGAAATTTTCTAAATATGCCACTACTATTTTTGGAGGGCCTGTAAAAGAATAATTTAATAATCATTTGACTCTCATTTTATACTGAAGATAAAAAGAGATGTTGAAAATATCACTTGCATTTAATTTCCTTGATTTAGTTTCATCTAAACTGAAAAATTTTGTTATAAACAAAAAACAAAAAAAAAAACAGAACTGTTATGTATTTCTTCTCGAAAGGCAGAAAAATTATGGATAGAAAAAGTAAATGCTGTTTTAAAAACTATCAACAGCTTAATAACATAAAGGTTGCCAAATGTTACAATAATTCTGATTGATTTCTTCTAACATTCTTGAAGCATTAAGAAAGTTAACAGACAGAATAGACATGTGTGTATATGTTGGGGGTTCCTGCAATTTTTAAACAGAATGAAAGTCAAAGTTCACCCTGGATGCAATAAAAGCAAGCTGCACATTCAACTGTAGCTGTGAAAGCCACAGTTGCTTGTGTATGTAGCCATTTGTCAGGGGAAAAGACATTTATGTATGTTATCTTACCATAAAGACAGTGTTTTAAGGAAAGAACATGACCCTTCTATAAGGACCTCCAATCAGATTCTGGGTTTAGACATTTGGGTAAGAGTCAATATAAATTGGGAGGATAACCCATTAAATAAACAGTTCCCATACTCAGCAGGATTTTGGCAAACAAATTAATCTTGTTACTACAACCTGGTGGGGTTATGAAGTAGGGTAGTGAAAATTAAATCATACTGAATTTACTGAATCTCACTAGGTTTATTTCGGGTTCAAATCTTCTTGATGTGCTCCTCATAAGCATTTTGTAGGTTCTGTTTAATAATTCTAAACCAAACTTTCTCCCATCAGGTTTGAATCTCATCAACTAATCTTCTATACTTTTATTCACTTAGTTTTTTTATTCCTTCACTCAGAATTCTTAGTCTTTTCAGTACCTTAAATGGTTAAACATCATTTCATGCATTATTATCATATTATTATATCAATCAGAGCCAACAGCCTTTTACAATTCAAAGTTTAGGCTGCATCAATACATATATACAGCCTCTCCTCAATTAATGACAACTGTTTAACAGTGCCATGGACTTAAAACCAAGCCTCCTCCACATACACAAAAATAAAATAATATACCAGGTGATTCAGAATTTTTTTTTTAACTTTGGTAATATTTTGATATTTTTTTTTGTTTTCTCTTTCTTCAGGATTACGGCCATATAACATTGAAACATTGGTTCTCATATGATCACCAAAGTTAAGCAATACTGAGCCTGGTCAATACCTAGATGGGTAACCACTTGGGAATACCAGGTGCTGATAACTTGGATGTGAAGATAGTGCAATGAATAATGGCTCAAAATTGTTACTCAGAGATCCGAGTTCCAATTTCAGTTAGGTTCATTATATTTACTTACATGCAAATACTCTTGCTACAGGTATGAATCCAGTTCATTTTCCGCCAACCATGGTTTAATTTGTAAGACTTGTATCACTAAATTATTATTATTTCAAAAAAAAAAAAAATTCTTAAAATCTAAAAATATTTTCTGGTTTTAAATAAACTGCAAATGGTTGATAAGAAAACAAATCAATCTCTTTCTTCAAAATGAATGAAAATAAATAAAATGAATAAAGTGAAAATAAATAAAAATTTACTTATACTATATTTCTAGTATACAAACAAAAATAATGTACAGAATATAGAGCTGATTTTCAAATTTGTTTATTACATTTACAATTCACAACAATGCTGTATCCAAACAAAAGTGGGGAAAAATGAGAACATGAAAAAGCATTTTTTTTTAATGACAGTGCATTTTGGCTTCATGTGCTAGGTTGGCATATTCAGGTCAGAATAAATTCATTTCAAACTGAAGATTCCATTCTAGCACTTTTCTCCACTACTGTACTGTATAAACATTTAGAAATGGTGAAAAAGTGACATTAAAGCTATCTAAAGCTCATTGACACAAACCCAATACATGTATAAATGCCTGAAATAGAAGTCAGGTACAAAGTCTCATTTTACAATCAGTTTCATTGAACGACCAGATCATCAGTTGTTAAGTGAAAAGTGTTGTAATTATGGTAGCTAAATTTTTTTTTTCTTTGTATGTTTGCATATTTTTTAATTTCAAATTTTTACTATAAACCATTAAATACAAATGATGGAATTTTGTACTGCTAAATGGTCAAAGAGTTTCAAATATAATCAATATAAGATAATTCCGTTTTGAAATAATAATAATGAATTATTGCTTTTAATTTAAATGATATTCAATAAATTATTGCTTTTACCTTCATGGATAACATGTGGTTCTGTCAGTGATGAAGTCTGAAAATTAAATAATATGCTTATTAGATAACAGTTTCAGTAAAAATTAAAAGAACATATACACAAAATATGTACAGTAGAAGCATGGTGGAGTAAGGGATAGTGGCTCAAAATTGTGGAATTGGAGAGCTGAGCTCGAATTCCAGTTGAGTTTATTTTATCAACTTATATGCTAATAATCTTGGAAAAGGTATGAATCCATCTCTTCCCACCTCAGCTATGAGTAAATAACAAGATGGATTGGGCCCTATAGCCTTGGTTGGCAACCAGTCTAGAAGAAAGAAAACTCTGATTTCAAAATCACCTGCTGCCTTGTAAGGTCTTGTCTCTCTATTTTCTGAGAGGAGGAACAAGGTAATCTTAACACCCTCAGTGCAAAAGGAACCGGCAAGCCATTGCACTAGTCTACTATTCCATCATGATGAACACCATTGTGAGATGGAGGGGAGTCATGAGACTGCTTCAGGACGAAAATGTACTAACTGAATAAATGATGATGATGATGACACAAAATATGGGAAACAGAACATGGATACATTAAATCACACACACACACACACACATTAGGTATCTCCAGAAAAAATGTTAATGTTTTCACAAAAAATATTAATACAAAATTTAAAAAGTGAGTTTGTATGATGTATGGTATTTTCATGACAAACTTTAGAGCCAATTTCTATCAGAAATCTGGGGATGAGGAGTTTTCATTAATTATATTATAAACATCCAGACTATTGTCCTTTTATTGTTGTTGTGAATAACAACAATAAAGATGAGGATAATAGTCTGCATGCAAATAGTTAACAGCTCAAATTTACATTGAAAAAAACATTAATTAATTAGATATGAATTAAATGTCTACAAAGTTAAAAATCTTCCCTTAATCTGCAAAAATCAACAATGACTTATCTGATTAATAGAAAATGCCATATTGTAAACAAATTGTAAAAAATCTATTAAAGAATAAAATTAATCATGACATTAAGACAATGAGAAATAGTTATTTCAATTTTTTCTTGCTTAAACAGGCCCTGAATTTCCAGGTACTATTTACAAAAAAACATCTAAACTGTATTTTTATAATATGGGTGGCTCTTATCAGTCAGTACGAGTGAAAGGTCAATTTAGATGGGTGAGGTAATATTTGTATTAGGTTGGAAGAAAAGTCCTTTAATCTTCTAAATAAATTTAATGTTAAGTCAAGAGAATTTTCCTTTCAGCCAGATATTATCAGTTGATATCTTTAAACTGAACTGCTTCCCTTTGTAAGTATGGTGGCCTGTAATAAAAGTCAATATTTTATTTTTTGAAAAATAATTATTTTTTTGTAGCTTTTCCATTGTTGATCATCAAGATGTTTTTAAAATAGAACAATCATTAATTTTTTAAAGTTCAATATTCTGAAATATTGATTATAAAGAACATATGAAGAATTTGTTTTTTTTCAAATATATATTTTTATATTAAGCACTGAAAATCACAAATATAAAAAAATATTTTTTTATAAAATTCAGAAATGAGACTGCTTAATTGATAGTAATATATAAAATAATAACATAAAATATAAAAAAAAAAAATAATATAAAATAATAACCTCAGATTATGGATTTCAATTTTTTTTCTTCACTTGAAGAAACTGCATTCAACAAAGAATGTTTAAAAGAAAGTTGCTGCCCAAATATAAATATATATATATATATATATATATATATATATATATATATATATGCAAGTTTCATTAAATATGACAGACAAGGTGCTTTGATTAAGTTTTTTATATATTTTCTCATATGACCTTATAATTTTTTTCCTTTTAGTAGATAAATCTCTATCTATAAAATATCTCTATCTATAAAATATCTCTATCTATAAAAGGCAGGATGTGTGTGTGTGTGTGTAATGAATGCACAGCCGCAATTTTCGACAGATTTTCATGCTTCTACGGCAGTTTTCATGTAGTTTGCGGCCATTTTCTACTGGCCAGAGTGAGAGCCTATAGCTGGCTGCCACGAATAGGCAGGAAGATTCTATTGGCCAGCGTGAGAGCCAACAGCTGACTGACACAAATGTTAACTAGCATTCTAGCATGCAAAAAATCGATAGCTGCATTCGTCACAAGTGGGAAAAATTTAAATCTGCATGGCACTTTACTCCAATTGGCTCATTCGCTTGCTTAAACTCAACGTTGATTCTGATTCCACAGAACTGGGTTGGGTGTGAAAAAAGTATTTGTTGTTAACATTCTTTTTTTATTTGGTTTTTCCAGTTACGAGTCCTTTTTTTAAAGCTGATCATTGTGTGTTCATTTTATTTAGTTCTTTTTTCATAACAGATTTAATGTTTAGTATAGCGCTTAGAAAAAATTTGCAGTGTGAGATAGGCAAGAAGTAAGGCATGTAGCAACATCAGCACGGCAAAGGGCACTCTTTTAAAGGCAAGGAAGAGCAAAAATATTTTAAGTCAAGTGATAGCAATTGCTGTATGAGTCGTGCAATTTTGAATCAAGCACGGGCAATGCCAGGCCATGCTGCTAGTTATATATATAGATATATTGAATATCTTATGTAGTTCTGAATTTTTGGGGAAGTGTTTAGAAAGCAACTTGAAAAATAATTTACCTATATTACATTTCCCTTCTAAGTTGAAAGTGGGGTTAAACCAAATAATATTTTTTCTTTTCCTCGAAATGCCTTTCATATGGTGTTTAATATGTTGAGGTTTAAATTCTAGGCTTGTTTTGTGGCCCTCTGCCTTTAAGTTTATCGCATATTCTTTCTTTTTTCCTCAAAAATTGTCTTTCAAGAATGAGTTTTTGGATAGCCTAGACTCTATTCCATTGGGGATATTTTTAATTATATTTGAAGGGTGGTTGGATTTAATGTTTACATAACTTAACTTTGAATTAAGTCTTATGTACATGGAGACACTGCCAGTGAGAAGTTAATGGTTTCTTTTTATTTATGCCAACTTCTATTTCAAAGCCGAGGTTTTTAAAGAGCTTAAAAAGCATTTTTCTAATAGTGTCATTGGTTCTTTTGTTGTTTGGTGCTATAATTAGGCTGTCATCTCTATATAGACCATGGTTGTTTATATGGAAAATCTTGTTGACACATCTTGGCAAAAACGATAGACTGCTCACAGGCAAGCGTGCAAATCCTACACAACATAGGAAGTGTGTGTGTGTGTGTATATGTATGTATGTGTATGTGTGTATACTAATTCCTTATAATAAGACAGTATGTATGTATAGAGAGGGAATGTGCATGTACATGCGTGTACTGGTATATATATATATACACATGTTGACAGAAACAACTGCTCACAGGCACACACGCAAACCCTACACAACAGGAAGTGTGCATGTGTTTGTGTGGATGTGGATGTATATGTGTACATATGTGTATACTAATTCCTTATAATAAGACAGTATGTATGTATAAAGAGGGAATATATGTATGTGTACGCATGCTGACAAAAACACAAAAAAATGAGAATAGATCTAAGAAGACACAGGGGTCATTAAAAGATAAGAATATGGATATCTTTCTCACCCTTTCTCGGACCAGTCTTAATTGTTTTATTAGCCTTCATGCTGAACTTTTTCACAGCCACACAAAAAAGAGAATGTCTAATATCAAGAATATTTAACATCGAAAAACAAGAAAAATTAATTCCTTTTAATAATATGTTTGCCTGATGAGGGTCTGGAGAGACTGGAAACGCATGTAGCAAAATTATGGAAAATAAAGCATAATATATTAAAAAAAATCCACAAACTTGTGGTTTTTCTCCATTTTAATTTCACTTTTCTTTTCATTGAACATATGTATGTATATATATATATATATATATATATATATATATATATATATATATATATATATATATATGTATGTATGTATGTATATGTATATGTATATGTATATGGTTTATATCATGTATTGTATATATATGTATATGTAGTATATGTATTATATATCCCTATATATATGGATATATATATATATGTATATGTATATATATATATATATATATATATATGTATATATATATATATATATATATATATATATGTATATATATGTATATATATATATATGTATATATATGTATATATATATATATTTCCTATTTGGGATATGTATTATATATTTCTTTCTTCCTATATGTATATATATATAACTATATTATATTTTTGTATATATATTGGTATATGCATATATGATTTTTCATTATATACGTATATATTGGTATATTCTATCTTCTTTCAGATAAGCAATATGGCTTTTGTCATATCGGCTATATTTGATGTATGTATATATATATATGTATATATATATATATGTCTATCAAGTTTTAGATAAGAATGTATGACTTGGACTGTTGCTTTAGATATCCCAAGGTGTGTATATATAGGGTTTGGCGTATGTATATGTTTTCTTGATAAGTTGAGAATGTTATGGTATTCTGTATATTGTGAATATATATATTGCCTTGAACTGTACATACATATTCTTCTAGATCTTTTTTTGCATTAATGCAAGTGTTATCCCAGGACTCTATATGTGGACCTATATATGTTCTAATTTTCCTCAATGACCTGCACACATGCATGCATGTATTTCTCAATGCATGGGATCTATGCTGATGACAGAACTATTTACTTTTTGTCTTAATAGTAGACTGATCAATTCAATAAGGTCATATATATGTTCTATATATATATGTATATATATATATATATATATAATATGTAAATATATTTGCACTCTCTTCTAATCGTTTTGAAGAACCATTTTGCCCTATATGTGCTGCTAACATCCAGGAAAACCCATACATAACCTTTGTAAATGGGAAGAATATTGAATTATTGTCTGTTAGGAAAGAGTTGGTTTTACTGTAATTGCTGAACAGTTTTCTCACTAATATCTTTGTAGTTATAAGTCTATCATTTGTCCTTGTTTTTGAATGTTGCATCTTATTTTATGCTATGTATTTAA